CTCCAACGCCGCTTGACTGTCCGAAAATATTTTCATTTTCATTGACTTGTGTATGAGATTGGATTCTTCCAATCTCTCCGCACACAATTCAATAACGTAAATTTTCACTTGAAATATAGTCTCAAATGTTCCTAGGCAGGTTGATGTCTCTGTCCTGAAAACAACTGCACCAAAACCTGATGGTGTTTTTGATCCATCTGTGAACCAACAACTATCTGCTCTTGATATTTCCTTCTTCCGGAGGATCCAGTCCTCTCTACTCGGGAACAGTACTTTATAAGGCAGTTCGTAGTTGACAGTTGGAGGCATAAAGTCAGAGGTCATTTCCAGAATGCCGTGACTTCCAGTGTCAACCAACAGTCTGTTGGACTCTGCATTAAATTGACTTGTACAATTGGCAACGTGCACAAGTCTATATGCAGTCCATCTAGCCTCTCTCTCCAGAAAAATGTGGAGAGGAGTTACATCTAGACTTTTTTCAGTTAGTATTATATTCAACAGATTTTTGTTCACTTTTTTTACATCATTCCTATTTTCCCTGTTAAAAATAATAAATACAGAAATTAGCGAATCGCTTTAGCTTTAGCTAGTAATACTAATTCAAATTTTATGGTAAATGACAATTATAAATTGAGTGAAATACTCGAGATAACTGACGTAATTGATTTATTCGATAACGATTGAAATAGTATTTGTCTAAATAGCTTTACAATTACCCCACTATATGTGACCTTTTTTTAACATTAAAATAGATATCCTTAAAATATACAGGGTGTAACTAAATAAGTGTAAATCATTTAGGCAGGTGATTCCTCATCGAAAAAAAAATAGGATCTTTCATATAAAGAAACTTCATTGGAGCATCCCTTGTTAAGATACAGCCCCTCAAAGGGGGTACATAAAATTTGTATAACAATTTTTTTCACAAGCACTAAAAAGTTACAATATTGAAATTAACCTGACGTTTTGTACTACCAAAAAGACACTTAGCCAGTAATTTATTTGGTTTACNATTGTTATGTATATGTTATGTACCCCCTTCAAAGGGCTGTATCTTAACAATGGATGCTCCAATGAAGTTTCTTTATATGAAAGATCCTTTCTTTCTTTCGATGAGGAATCACCTCCTTAAATGTTTTACACTCATTCATTCAGTTACACCCTGTATACATATGCCATCGCGGACTTTTCTGTAGTCCTATAAAAAAACTGTAGCAAATTGAAAACGATGCCCGATCGCTCAAAGGAATAAGGCAGCGTTTTTTTATGAAAGCTTCCCGGCTTAACGCGGGTAGCACTACCGCCCTGACTTCGCACTGATAACAATGTAATATTCCTACCAATTTACACAAAATATTAATGAATTATTTTCATGACACTTCCTTTGTTAAAAACCGTATGAAAATCTGTCCGGGGGTTTTTCAGCTCATCGCGTTAATATGGAGGAAGCGCGGCGGGACTTCCAATAGTAATATCTAGATATATTAAAATATGGTAATATCGGATTCTCTCCAGGTTACGGATAGATCTACTATATTAAATTCTGAATCAATATGATTAATGGGAAAACACTTTTTAGCTTTATACTTCTCAATCTTGATACAAGAAATGTGGGAAATGTTCAAAGGAAGAAACAATGAATTAGGATCGAAATAAACTCTTTTTGAAGATTTTTAAATCATGCATAAAAGATACTGGATACGAATTGAAGGAAAAAATCAACCCGAAACAACCACTTTCACATATAAATTGAATTATATGAAATTATATGAATTATATGAAAGAAAACATACTTTCCAAACAATTCCTTTCATATGTTTGAATTATACATGAAACACTTCAGTGGAGTACTTCAAAGTTTCCGAATGAGACACCTGTCTTATTGTTATTGTTTTATTGTAAAGTTATGAAAGAAACGACTGGTTGGTCTTGTAATGTTATCCAAAAAGGTGCCGATGCGGTTTGAAACAGGTGTCTTATTCTGAAATTTCTAAGTACGCCACTGATTATGATATGTTCAATGTAAGTGAAATTTTATATAGTAACTCGTCATATACTCGTGATTTTCGTATAAATCAATATTAATATCAAAGTAGTTGTTTCGAGAGGACCTTTTCTTTCAGTTTGTATCTGAACGTAACTTCTCTGCATGATCTACACATCTTTGGGAAGAGTTTATACGATAGAAGGTAAACATGTAACCACTTGTGTGAAATAAATCAAGAACCAGAACTGGAATACTCTTCTCGACGCGTACTACAGGTACTACAGGACGCGTACTACAGGAACCAGTCGCCTGGTTCTATAGCTCCTCCCCAGATTGAACTTTTTGTCTTCTATTTCTAGACTTCCTGACTCCAAGGTCCGTATTAGTGCTGAATTTCAGGTTGAATGGAAATCAAATTGGAACCGCTTAGTTCCTATGACGTAGTACTAGACAATGAGGCATTGTGCCATTCCATATAACAAATATGTAGCGGGAGCCAGAGTTTTCTTTGAAGGCGCGATTTTTTGTAAATATACTTCATTTCATGAATAATTTCTAATATTGAGAAATGGTTGTGAAGGTTTTCAGCAGGTTTCCAGCAAGCAGATGTTCCGGACTTTCAAATATTCTGGACTGGTGAATTGCACACAATATTAATGAAACGATGAAAGAGTTTTGGAATCTCCAAAACGAAATATCGTTTTGGAGATTTCAGCTTCGGAAATGAGTCCCAAAGTAGTCGACCTATAGTAATCCGGTGACCATGGTCACCCTATGGTGGTCAGCGGCTGGTGTAATTCAATGTCACTTTCTGCAACCGGATCAAAAAAATGTACCGAAAATTACGTCAGCAGCAGCCGGCACTGTCGAAGTTCTGCTTCACCCACCATACTCCCCAGATCTCTCGCCAACAGACTACCATCTTTTAAGCCCTTCGATAAGTTTCTCACCGGTAGAACCTTCGGCAATCATGACCGGGTAAATGCGAATTTCGTCGACTTCATCGTACCCCGAGAACTGAATTTTTATGCTGACGGAATTAATCGACTTGTTTCACGTTGGCAAAAGTGCACTGATTCAAATGTTTCTTATTTCGATTAAATTGAATATGTAATCACTGAAAGAAAGAAAGGAATTTTATACTTTTTTCTCAGGGAAAGCTACTTCACTTGCATATCTGATTTCTTCACATATAAACGTTGCTAAAAAATCCGGATCACTAGACTTGTAATAATTTGACCATTTGAATTTACTAATAATAAACCTATATTCTGAGACACCAATATTTGAAATTGGTTTAATTAAATTAATTTTTTCCACAGTAGGCAGTTCATCTATAGCAATTGATATTTCTAGGCCATAGTGGTCAGATATGTCATCTTTAATAACTGAGTGGTGGTCGAAATTTATCAAAATATTATCAAAGCAGGTGTAGGAATGATTGGTGACTCTAGTTGGTTCTTGTATTAAATACCTGAAGTTGAATGGATCCAATGTATTACACAGTATTTTTTTTACTGATTTAGTGGAAAAGTCCACATTGACGATCCAAATTTCCCTTACCTGATCGATATAAGCATACTACCAGAATATTGAATATAGTTATTACAGCAAACTCTGCATCAACTTCAGTGCAATATCTATTTATATCCACAGCATTCGTTATAATATCATTTCGAGCAAATATTGCCACTCCGCCATGCTTAAGCTTATATCTGCAAAAGTAACTTACCAAGTGGTAATTAATGATGTTGATATTAGAGATTAAATCACTTGTCAACCAAGTTTCACATATACAGACTAAATGATATGGTTTTTCCTGACATCCAATGTTCAATTCATCAATTTTATTAGGAAACAAGTATAGCTGAGGCACCAGTCAATCTAATAATAACACTGATGATTTTCAAACAAGACTCAACCTCTAACGGAAACAAGAAACTCTTTGGAAGGTTCGAAATAGATGAACATTTCAACCTAGCAGACCACT